ATCTCGAACACGAATCCCTGTGGATTTGGGGGGATTTGGGAGCAGCTCCGGCTGCTCGGTTGGACCAAGTGCGACACGACAGAATTATTAAAAAAACCATCTAATTAATCGCTTTAGAAAACAACAACCGTGCCCACAATCCTGCCGAGGCAAAAAAACCAGGAGAAATTGGGATTGAAGGGAACGAACTGCCTGGAATCAGGGATTTGGGGCATTTTTAAGGAACTGTGTTGGAATATTTGGGTTAAAAGTCAAACATCGGACAGTTTTGACCCCTTGCAGGGGTTCTGTGGTGGGAAATCCCTGGAGCTCGGAACACACGGAAAGACGCCTTTTTCCTGCTTCGGCCACGCAGAAACTCTGAATTCCCAAGAAATGAAGGAATCCAGGTGATTTTCGGGAGCGATGGAGCTCGGAACACACAGAATGATGTGTTTTTCTTGCTTCAGCCATGCAGAAACTCTGAATTCCCAAGAAATGAAGGAATTCAGGTGGTTTTCGGGAGCGATGGAGCTCGGAACACACGGAATGACGCCTTTTTCCTGCTTCAGCCATGCAGAAACTCCAAATTCCCAAGAAATGAAGGAATCCAGGTGGTTTTCAGGAGCAATGGAGCTCATGACGTGTGGAATGACGTGTTTTTCCTGCTTCAGCCACATGGAAACTCAGAATTCCCAAGAAATGAAGGAATTCAGGTGGTTTTTGGGAGCGCTGGAGCTCGTGTGTGAAGCCAAAGCCTTCACTGGAGGATCCACCAGGAGCTCATTAAATTCATCACAGATCCTTCAGGAACGAGCAGAGGGTGGAAAACTCGCCTGGGAGAGCGACGGGAGAGGGACCTAAAGCAGCAGGAACGGCCCCTGGTTTCCTCTTTATACATTTTGGGGGAAAAAAGGGAGCCTCGCTTCACCTTCCTATTTCTCTACCAACAACTAAGGGACGGGAAAAAGCCAACGTGAAACCAAACCCAGTGGAGAGGAGGGAACTGGACGGATCCAGGTCAGCTCCTGCAGCACTTCCAGGGGGAAAAGGGTCATTCTGGGCCGTTATTCACCACAGGGGTGGTTTGGGATGTCATTCCAAGGCTAAAGCGGCCCCGACAGGGGACGAACGAGCGGAGGGGCCGCGGAGCGCGCGCGTCCTCACCTGCAGCTTCCGCGCCATGGCCACGACCTCGTGGTCGGCGGGGTTGTACTTGTAGCAGTTGGAGAACATCAACCGCACGTCGGCCGCGAATTCCTGAGCATCCCGGTATTCCCGGTTCTCCAGCTTGGACTAGGGGGGAGAGGAGAGAGAGAGGAAAAGCAAGACAAGCCTCTGCCAGAACGTTTGACGGGACGGATTTCATGGGGCTCTTTCGACTGGTTTTGGTCACGAGGGCAAACTAATGTTGGGCCAAAGAACCACCAAGTTTCATCGATTTTTCACCCCTTATTTTGATGCAGAAGAATTAAATTGCTTTGGTCCAAGGGAATCTAGTTTTGGTCAAAAGAATGTCGTGTTTTGGTCAAAGGAATGTCGTGCTTTGGTCAAAAGAACGACGGGTTTTGGTCAAAAAGAGCAACTTGGTCAAAAGAGAGGCTTGTTTTGGTCAAAAGAGTGACTTGTTTTGGTCAAAAGAGAGGCTTGTTTTGGTCAAAAAGACAGACTAGTTTAGATCAAACAACTACTGATTTTGGTCAAAAGAACCACCAATTTTGGTCAAAAGAACTCCTTATTTTGGTCAAAAAGAAAGGCTGGTTTTGGTCAAAAGAAGGATGTGTTCTGGTCAAAAGAGCAACTGGTTTTGGTTCTTCTCCCCGAGCTTAGGAGAAGACCAACTTTTGAGAGAGACCAGCCTTTGTTTTAAAAGGGATTAGAAATGGGTTTGGTTTCAATCAAACCAAATCAATCAAACCAATCAATTTTCCCAGGATTTCTGCTCTGGGGTCTCTCCTGGGCTAAAAAACGGGGAGATTTATACAATAACACAGATTTTCCCTAAAAAACCAAATGTCAGCGTTCCTAAGAAGGGAAAAAAAAATCAGCCTGGGAATGAAAACTCCAGAGGGTTGAGGTTCCTCTGCCCCTCTCATCCCTGGATCCACCTGGATCCAGGATCCCACGCTCAGCTCCCAAATTTCCTCCCCGTCAGCCTCCCAGCTGGGAACGTGGAATTCGACAGAAGGACAAAACTTTGGGAGAGGGATAATTTAAGGGATAATTTAAGGGATAATTAAATTTAACCGCCCAGAGGCACCAAAATTTCTGGATTCTGGGTTTTTGGTCGGTTCACGGAGCCGGGGCGTTTGTCCTTCCCCAGTGTCAGGGAATCAAGAGGAGAAAGAGAGACCAAAGGCCCCCAAACCCCACGGCCGAGCCAGAGCCGGCACGAGGCCAAACCCGTCGTGTTCCCGCTGAACACGGGAACCCCAAGGCCGAGCTTACTTTGATTGTGCTCAGATCCATGGGGTGCTTGATGATGTCGCAGTAGTCGTGCAGCCCCAGAGCTTCCACGTCCACAGGTTTGTAGAAGGGCCACGCGTAGGCCGCGTGCTTCTTGGCGAACATCTCCTTGATGATCCCGCCGCAGTACTTGAGCTGCTCCGAGACCTTGCTGCTCTTCTCCGCCGCGTGCTGCTGCGAGTCGGGAACGTCCTTCTTTGGAGGCTTCACGGGGCGGCCGCTCTCCCGCCGCGGGCCCAGCTTGGCGGACTTGGGCTCGGCGGGCAGCGACGACGAGTCGTGGATCGGGTCGATGGTGGTGGGGGTCGTGGTGTCTGCTTTCCTCTTCACCCCTTTTTTTGTCTGGGAACGAGGGAAGAATCCGACGTCACCGCCGGAATGTTCCCTCGGGCTCCCGCCCCGTTGACTCGGAGCCGCCGTCGGCTCAACTCAACTCAACTCAACTCAACTCAACGCTACGAGAAAGGCGTTGGAGACCTTTCCAAAGTGCTCGTTTGGACTGGGGGCTGTGGGAAAACAGGGGTTGGATTATCCCAGTTGGAGCAGCAAAGCTCAAGGGCCTGAGCTGGGATTTTCCTCCTGAGTCTTAAACGGCTCCAGGAAGGTTTAACTGGGAAAGGTTTTTCCATGGAAACCTGGGTGGGACCCCCCTGGGCTATGGAAGGTGTCCCTG